AAGCCCGTGTGACCGTGGTAAAAGGGTGGGTACAATCGTCATAGCATAATGACGGATTTCGGTGTTCTACAGGCGTCATTCCGACGCCTTTGTTCACTGACCGGATAATCAATTGGAAAGAAATGATACATACATACTGTGAGATTCACTGATGTTTTATTTGTTGGCATGGGATGCCATGAGCAGGTACAATGCGATGAGGAGCTGTCGATATATCTCATATTCATCAGCTCCCTGGTGATGAACGCTAATTGAGGGGATATATATATTTTAATATCCCACTTTTACATTTGCTAAAGCCTCAAAATCTGACAGAAATATTGTACAATTTAGAATTATTATACCAACCCCCAAAAAAAAATAAAAAAATAAAAAAATAATTAATGATCGTTGCGAGTTCAAAATATTTAGTTCATGTACGGCTAAATCAACAATGTCCGCGGGTCAGCACACGCGACCGTGACCTAATGCTCCCACTCCAGTCTAGACGGACAGACGCACAGCTCACACAGCCAACTGTAAAGCGAGGCTGGGAAGACCAGTCCATGTCTCCTAGTGAAGAAATTGAAGGCGCTCTTTGACGATTCAACGTTGGGTCATTAACAGATGAGATGGTCAAACATGAATCATCGAAGATTGAATAGCTCCCAGTGTCTCAATATAGAAGACCGTGGAGGATTTGATCGTTAGCCAACGTTTCCTTAACCGATTCAGCATCACTTTTTCTCAACATAACCCCAACTCGTCTCTCTCTGTGGGCATATAAAATGGCATCAAGAATGTCGCTGCAAAAGTCGCGGTAAAAACGAAGGCATGGGTTGCAACAGGCCTCACATAGGATAGGCATCGTGTCCTTCAACGTTTGCTACCTAGCAGAGCACGTACGCGACAGGGGCCGAGAAGCCTATAAATACGTCCTCTACCCCCAGCAATTTGTTCTACAATTCTATCACTTGGCTACCCAAAGTCGAGCAGGCCTTGTGTCTTGAGGCACTCGATAAGTTCACCCCCTTCGACCCAGTACTGATTTTTCCACTGTACTGACATCTTTAGATACATCGTGGACCGGCAAGCTAGAAAGTGCCTGTGAGAGAGAGACGTGATTCCCACCAGGTCCACTATGCCACCCATGCCAGCCGATCAAAGAACAAGATTTGGGTTAGCTGGTCAAAGTGTCTATGCGAACATCTCTCTCCACCATAGCAGCCGACTCACTGTCTCGCCCTGGACCTCCCCCGATGCAAAAGAGCGACTTTTCATACAGGTATGTAAATTTCAGCACGATACTGTCCAAATTCAACTGACTTCAAAGATGATGCGAAACAACCAGATCCATGCATTCCGTCCAATATACACCAGCGCAAAGCCACGGAGCCCTTTCCCGTGTCTTCTTCCAGAACATGTGAGTCATGCATTGTCTCGCCGATCAACAAGCTAATGATGGACAGGAAACCGTTGACAGTGCACCAGAGTGAGTCCGAACCAGCACCTCGTCAGTGCTCCGCGCAAAGCCACGGCTTACACACCATTTCTGGTCCTGCCGCTTCAAACCATGCAGCATGTCCTATGTGGAATATTGTAAACCAAGGGCGCGGGCCAACAACAGCACGCATAAGCTCCAGACGTTGGTTATCCACGATGAGGTGAGTGGAATATCGCGCCTCCTGCTGCGCCGGGTCCGATTATTTGTGCCAAGTCTGTGTCTCAAACACAAAACACCACTGACATCTCCATGCCGTTGTAGGAGCAGCCCATCGCCAGCATGTTGTGCCAAGCAACCTATTCCCACCGAGTCAGATAAGACCTAGGGCACTACGGCGCGCTCCATCGTGTCTTCCGCCCCTCTCCTTACCGCCTTCACGCACCAAACGGCGGAGCCTCAACCTCTTGGCATCTACACGAAGCAGTCTCCCAGTACGACTGTACAATTCCTTGTCACAGGTGAGTTCGTCGCGCGCCTTTGCCGTCTAGGAAACTTGCCCGGTGCATCCAGCGCGGCTTCTCGAAGCGACAGCCGGAGAGTGCAACGAACATGAATACAACATGGCGTGAATGGTGACCGCATTGCTGAAGAGAATTGGAAGTGATCTAGTTGGTAAGCTGGTATGATCACGATCCTAATTGATCATCGATCTCAAGCGTACTCTCGGCGGATTCTTCATGAACAACGTAAAGCACATTACCTCGTCCAGCTGGATCAAAACTTGCTGACTCCTGACTCGGATCCCCCAACAGGAAGACACCCTCAGATTCCCACCACTCGAATGCGAAGCGAGCAAATCTCTTATCTGCTCAAGCTCCCCTACACAATACGATCGCATGCTGTCTATAGCTTCCACATGACTACTGGTGGCATCGATGAGTCGCTGGTGGGTACCAAATCGGCTACCTCGACCCTTTCTCCCAGTCGATTTTGTGCATCAGATCATGCGTTGATATGCCTACCTCGCGCAAGACCCGAAATCTAAGGAGCGCATACCAATCTCTATCTCTCGGCATTGAACACTCACAGGGGATAGCCTTCTCGTGGCTTGGGATCCGGGTGCTGAATGGGTGACTATCGTTGTCTTCGGATGGTGTCTAGCGTCTTTAAAGCCTGGACCTCTGAAAGATGCCGAGAGGTTCCGGTGTTTCTGTCTTGCTTCATAGCGGACGAACCGTACCTTCGCAGAGGGCCAGGTTGTTATTCCAAGTCTGCATGCAAGGAGAATGTGAGGCAACAGCCCCGTCATTTCTAGCCGAATAAGTTGACATGACCATCCCAGCTTCAAATCGAGCGGACAAGACCGAGGACAGCTAAATCAATGAGAGAGCCCACGACCCAAGAATCACCGTCCGGTACAATCCCACTTGATTCCGACCCGCGTTGCTGAGCAAAAAAGGATCAGCAAGGAACCTGTGTTACAGTCCTAGGTATCCAGATCGACTCTATTGCAGTGGAAGCTCGTCTGCCGCCAGAAAAGTTGTGCCGCGCCACATTGGACGCCGCAGCTGCCCTGAACGCAGCGAGTCTCTCCGTCAAGCAAGCAGAGCGCCTCACAGGCTTATTAGCCTTTTGTTCAAGAGTTGTCCGACTTGGAAGAACAAGATTACAGTCTCTATACACCTTCCAAGCCGCTTTCCCACATGGGAGTAGTGCGCGCCGCCGTATCCCTTACGAGGTACGTGACGATTTGGAATGGTGGAGGGACTCCTTGCTCTTCAACGGCGTACTCCTAATTGACCCCTGCCGCCGCCCCATCACGCATCTCTACACAGATGCCTCTAGTATAGGCCAGGGGCTCTTCTTCTTCTCATCCCAGTCTACATTAGACTGCTGGCTGGCCCATTGTCACCAGCTTCATCCAAGCAATGCTGCCACATTGGCCCTTGCTGAAGACGCACATGCGCACATCAATACCAACGAAGTAGACGCTATTCTACAAGGCTTCCTACTCTTCAGCCACCATTGGCTCCATCATACTCTCGTTATCCACACGGATAGCTCCACAGCGCACACGGGACTCAAGAAAGGCTTTCTTCATGGTCCGCCTAACGCACCTCTGAAGAGCCTGCTTATCCTAGCGGCGGCGAGAGACATTCACATCGTGCCACACTGGCTCCCCTCCGGGGAAAATACATTAGCAGACGCGCTCTCACGTAACAATCTTGAAGACATTGCTAACATTTGTCCCCATTGGCAGGACCTCTCGGTATTGAACCGCCCGCGTGGTTCTCTTCACGAGCTCCTCAGCTCAATGCCGGCCACCTAAAACTGCTCTGGAACGGACTCAGCGCCAACACCCGTTCCGTTTACCTCTCCGTTCAGCGCAGCTACGAAAAGCACTGCGCGCTACAAAATTTCTCCGCATGGCCAGTGTCAAGACATTCATTAACCTCATGGCTAAGCTCACGACTCCTTGGTAACGCCAGCTAAAAGGCCGTCAAGCCTGACACCGCACTCGCCGACCTAGCCGCTCTCCGAGCCTACCATATCGATAATTTCCTTGACGATAAACTCTTCGATAACAAGCATTTTCGACGTCTCATAGACGGTGCGAGAAGACTCAAACCCGTCACAAAAATACGGGTCAGAAAACCTATTTCTCGTGACACTATTACGAACTATCTGCGAGCCTCGCCGCACTCCCGCCTCGGCCATTGGAGATGTCTGCGAACCTTCTAGACGTCTATAACTTTGCCACCGCGTGCCGGGTAGCATTTGCTGGATTTCTTCGCCTCGGAGAATTCACCTACAAGGCTAACGATCTCAGCACACATTCTATCTTCTCAGCCACAAAGTTAACGCGCTCCGACGTCAGATTCTCGCCCTCGTTAGACCACGCACAACTCACACTCAAGCGCAGTAAGACAAACCGCCGCCACGAAGGGGTGCAAATTATTCTTGCAAAGACAGGAGACGGCGCGTGCCCAGTTGATGCCCTTCAGAAGCTGCTACTTCTCGATCCCAGAGGGCCCGACGCCCCATTGTTCTCCTTCCACAGAAGACCATTCAGTCGCAACAACTTCCTCTCGACCTTATCTACTAAGCTAAGAGCGCTTGGACTACGGACAGAGGGCTACTCGGGTCACAGTTTTCGGAAGGCGCAGCTCAGCATGCGCACGATAGTGGAATACTCGACGACCAGATTCAGATGCTAGGGAGATGGATCTCAGAGGCTTTCAGGGTGTATTTTACGGCGAACGCGTCAGTTTTGTACAAGCTCAATCACCAGTTCCAGACAGGCTCGCTGGACCCGCTGTCTCTGCTGCACACACCGTCCCCTCCACCATCCTAGTTTGACCGGGTCGTTTGGGCCCTATCTGGCGCTACGGTCTGCGACCGCAGCGACAGGTGACCCGTTATGGCCAAACTACACTCTTCTTGCTCCTCTTGACTGCGTGAGGTCACCACTAAAACAATTCTTACTACGGTCAACGTGGGTGCGAATAAATTGTTCCTTCGTTAGGAAAAGCTCGTTGAAATTATATGATTGAGGGATATCACTCGACAAATATCATCACTGATGAGCATTATTTAACAGAACCTCAGTCCCTTCCAGCCAACCAGACGAATTGGCCATATCCAAGACTGTCTTGTCCATCTCGTCTTTCTGAGCAAGATTAGCCCGACCGCCCTTCTCGATCAAGAGCTGCAGCAACCGGAGATCGCGGTCTTCAATGGCCTGCATGATAGCGTTCCAGTCGCGATAGCATTTATTTGGGTCAGCCCCCTTTCCAGGAGTAGCTCAATCATGGAAAAGTCACCATCGTCGCATCGTCTTATCGCCTTGACGAGAGGCAGATGTTCACCAGGAGCATTGGGGTCGGCACCAGCCTCGTCCAAAAGATAACGCACAATGACCCAGTAGCGCTCGCGCAGCGCTGTCGTCAGCGGTGAGAACACGCCGCCGTTTTTCCACTCTACATTGGCGCCGGCGGCGAGGAGTAGTTTGACGTTTTCTAGTTGGTTGGCTTGAACTGCTTTCTCCATGACGCCCTTGTGCGCGGATAGGTCTGTTATGCTGGGTAGCAGGAGCCGTAGCATGCTCGGCGACTGAGTCGCCATATACACGGGCCAGTCTTGGCCGCGTAGGTTGGGATCGGCACCATGCGCTAGTAACCAGCCTAGCATCTCTGGGAGTGTATATTCCGTCCTTCTTGGAGTTTGGGTCCATATCAGCTTGCAGCAAAACGCGCACGGCATCAATGCTGTTCACACTTGTCGCCTGCTCCATCAGGCCAGGAGTCTTTCGAACGTCAGCGCCGCGCGCGAGCAGGATGCGCAGGCAGCCTGGGCGGTGGACGGCGGACCAGAGGACGTGTTCAGGTCCTGGCATGTTTGGATTCGCGTCCTGATTTAATAGAGTGGTCACGATGGCTGGTTGGTCGCTTTGTACGGCTTCGCATAGCGCTGTCTTGCCGTGGTCGTCTTTGCGGTTGGGGTCACAGCCGGAATTGAGCAAGGTTTCGATGGCTTGCTGCGGTGCTCGCTTGCGAATTGCTTCGATCAGTAACGTTGTGCCATTGCGCGTCTCATCTTCCAGATTGACGCCATGGGCGAGCAGAGTCTGCGTTAGCCTGGCGCTGGCGGAATCGGGCTCGGAATAGCTGTCATTCCGAAGGTTGATTTCTTCAGCAGAAGCTGTTAAGTTTGCCTTGGCCGGTCGGCGCGGCAGTGCTCGAAGTAGGGGATCTTTTCGGTCTCGCGTCCAGGCTGGTTCAGAAACCCGTTCAGAGATAGGACGGAGGACATATCATCCGTGTTAATTTCAGGATCTTGTTGACGAAGGCCTTGGCTGGGTCGGGCGGCGGTGAATGATTCCTTCGGAGGCACGGATGGTGTCGACCGCATTGAATCAGGCAACTGACTTTGGATCGATGGTACGGACCGCTCAGATTCAAAAGTCTTGGCCTTGTTTATGCCCATCACGGAGCGGCCTTTAGATACGCGGTCGAGCGCAGCAGCTAAGCCTGCATACCCAGTGCCTACTGACTCTTCTGGGTGTGCGTCTCCGAGGGACCAATGGAAGGCCATGCCGCTGATCCGAAGGGTTTCGGTGGCCTTCTTCAGTGACTCGTGAATGCGGCTGAGTTCATGGCCGGGTCGATGCCATCCTCGCTGCAGCTTTCCCAGTGTCCCGCGATGCTCATAATGAACAAGTTTCAAAATGACCTTGTCAAGTTGTTGAAAGTCGCGGTAAGTGGAAACAAATTTCTTTTCCACCTCTTCAATTATCACCTCGGGCAGGGCGCGATTGGCGGCGGCTAATTCGGTCACTCCGGCTTCAATGGCCCACAGTGTACGACAGGTATCGAGGAACGTATGGGAAAGCTCGCGAAAACCGTCGGGTAGGTCTTTGGTAGTGCTGATATACTTGAGCATGTGCACGGAGATCTGATTGCCCAGTTGGGTAGCGAGAGCCGCGACGCTGCAGATGGCTTCCTCTGACTTAGCCGTCATGATGAAATGAGAGGCTCACCTTTGAGGCGGAGAAGGCAGGGAGATACAAAAGGAGTCAGGGAGAGACAGTAGTGTAGATTGCCCAGATAAACGGGCCAAACTGGTCAAACTTTGGGGCCAAACTGGCCATCTATACAGGGGAGCCAGTGATCCAAACTAGGTAAACGCTTGGTCGAAATTGTCGACAATCTCGATCTGGGGCGTAAACCCATAGTTTTCTCCTATTTAATGCCAGTTGAAACTGTAGTTTACAGTACTAGATCACTCTATCTCGATCTGGCTCCGATTTCAGCCTGCAGTGACCGAGGTGTTTACTGTCGCAGCATTTTGCCACACATTATTATTTACTATTCCAAATCTTCGTATAGTCACCGATATCTCCAGTGAGAGTATGGATGTGGGACCGGATAAGTTCCTATTTAATGCTGCAATTGAAGCACGTACAGACCGGGAAACCGTGCATTAAAATCCACTACCCGTATGTTAACGGCTGACCTCGACTTTTAAGCTAGAGGCACCTCCGGCATCTATTCAACACTCGCATTCAACTCCTATAATGCCGATTTATCAACAACCTGTTCAAGGAGCCTGTTGGGTTTGGCGCTGTGCTGCGCCCCCGCATAGCTTCTCATTTTTGAAAAAGCTGAAGCAGCTGAGTATCAAGGATGTATGACTCGGGAAATGTTTCAAGTTCTATTGTGATTTACTTCACGGCTCTAGGCAACATGATAAAAGGGTCTCCCTCGCAGAGGTACTGAGATCTCTCAAAAATTGGATTTTATCTAGGCCATACAATTCTATCTGCCGTCTTTTGCTATTCATGTATCTCTCTTGTCCGGGCCGACGAATAAAGATACTTTCGAATGCTGCTAAGCATCGATTATCATTGTCTGGTAGGCATTGCAATGAAGAGGTCAAGCATCCGCCGATTTCATGATTCCATTGTAAAGATTGGGCACTGTTAGCGCCCCTGAGAGAAATATTGAGAGCAAAGTCAATGTGCACGAATGGCTTTTGCAGGCCAAGTAGTTCCGCTGCGACAATCACGCTAAAATGTTATCCTTGACAAAGACGAGCTGGGGGCCCACGGACGAGGAAAAGGGCATGTTGGCAACGGAGAACCACTACTTTCTATTTCCGCATCCCGAACTAAGTTTTTCATTGGAAACATCCCCGCATATCAAAAGGGAACAACCACATTGAGTGTGAACCTCGTTCATCCCAGTAATTAGAACTCGTAAGGCCCAAGTTCCTAAAGCAGAGCTTTATTTAGTGATACTTAACAGATCTCATAGGTTCTTGGATGCTACAGTCAGGGCTCTAAGTAAACCTTGATAACGATAAACTTCAAATTCTCCGAGAATCGGCCAGGTTTGATTCCGTAAACGCTCCACCACCGCTCCACGTGGCAAACAAAATAAGAAGTGGAGATAAGGGGGCGAATCCCGAGGCTTGAATTTGTCTTTCGCTTATCGCTAGATTAAGAAGTCTTGATTAACCAGGGAAAGACACTTTTACTAGCGGAAGCTTCTATCAGCACTAGGGAAAGACACTTTCACTAGCGAATATATTCAGTCCGCCCCGCATCTCTTCAAATCCTTCATTAAATTATTCATTGTAGAATAAAGAGAAAATATATACAGTGGTGTAACAAAAGTATTTGAAACATTGTGCCTTTTTGGCCAGATGGCGTAGTGGTAAACCCAAGCATCCATGAACCGTCACCACCCCTCGGGGCTCCCCGGTCCAGGAAGGGGTGAGGTACATTATCTGTCCCTTCCGGTTTCCATTCCCGACGTTGGTTATTCTTCGGATTGGATTGTTCAAAAAGTTTTTATCTACCAGATACGTCCTCGGTAGTACACATAAATTTAACTGACACCCAGAAAAATCAAATTTAGTAGAGCCTGTAAATAAGTTTACCAAAAAGCTTAATTATATCAGCAAGCTGATTGGTCAGTCACTATCGTAGATCTGGTCGGCATTGCAACGGGGCTGTTCATTTCCATTATTTGTCAGGAGCTTGAAGCTTTGTCTCCTGTTTGTCCAATCTGGCTCAGCCACGTCGTGCCCAAAGAACGTGCGGCTTCTTTCGAACGGCAGAATACGAGCCAGCCCCGCACGATCTCGTCCCCGCCGAAGTATCAGACAGACAATCGTCCCTTTTTATTGTACTGTAAGGGGCAGGCAGCTTTCAAACGGTTGAGCCATTTTCCAAATACCGTTCTCCAGGCCACTGGCTCAGCTCTGACTCCAGTGCAACCTTGAGAGCATTCGTAGCCGTATTCCGTCAGGGTATATAAAGTCTTGAATTTCCATCTTAAATGCTTCATTATTATCATCTTCTTCTTCACATCTACCTCAACCTATCAAGGATAGTTTGTAAAGGTAAGGTATTTCCAATTAGCATTATCTTTGCCGCATGATGTTCTGACGATGACCTAGAACTAGACTCTCATCTTATTCCATACAAGCTTTATTAAAGGTGCCTCTCATTGCTACTTACTATCACATAGTGTTTGTTAAACTGAAATGATTTAGTTTGAGAATCATGAACATTATGAGGATTGTCCCTGTTATTCTCTTCTCGGTTTCTGCTGTCTCCGCTAGTCCAGCACCTAATCGTGATGCAAATGGGTTGATGCTACCCAGGATCTGCTGTACTTGTCCCAATGGCCAGTCTGGCTGTGGTGGTTTCTGCTATGAAAATAATTGTTAGTCACTGCTACTTGTATCGTAATTCACGGGTGGGCGGCTCTTACGGTTGAGTGGATCACCCCGAAATAGCCGTGTCACGAGACACCCCATCCTCTGGGTAGGGGGTGTCCCTCAGCCAAATTGCAATTCTCAGCCATATTGCAAATTTCCTACTTTTTCAACTTTACGCGAATTCCTAACCACCAAAAATGCCTAAAAAAGCTCGTGATGAGGAGGCTATTCTAGCCAAGGCATTAGACGACTATAATATGCAAAAGCTCTCGTCCCTACGTAAGGCTGCGGACCATTATCGCGTGTCGTACTCGAAGCATCGCGGTCGCAAAATCGGACGGTCATCTCTCTCCGATCGCCCTACCACCAATAATGCGTTGAATTCGAATTAGGAAAATGCATTAATTAGCTGGATCGAATTGCTAAATTCTTGCTACACATCTCCAACCGCAAAAACAATGAAAATGCCGTAAATCGCCTATTGAAAATAGCAGGGTCGGAGAGAGCTGTCGGCCCAATATATAGCTATCGGCTTATACGGCGTCTACCTCCACACATCAAGCTTACCATAACCTGCGCAACTGTGCCATTGATATCATAATTGGCATGCTCGGGCTCTCCTACTTTGTCGTTTATCTACTACTATTTTTGATTTTCCATTTTCCTTCAACCCAAGAGTCGATCCCATATGCCCTGGCAGTCATCGCCTTTGGTGGCGGAATCGCTTTGTGGCATTTATGTGTTGTCATCCAAAATGGTTTCTGTGTGCTCCACAACAAAACAAAGACAAAAAAGCAAGTCTCATTGTGGTTCGTTGGTCTGTTCCTCATTTGGACCGCTGCTCTTCCGACGGTCGCGTTTCTCTTTCCAGCCCAACCATTGCTACAACTTGGATACGCTTCAGCCTTCACCGTAATCGTTGTTGGAAGCCTCCCTGACGGCTACCTCAAAGATAACACGGTATCCTTTCGTGGTCGATTCTGCCAGTATGCGCCAGTGGGCCTATTGGCGTTGGTGCCCACCATTCATGCATTGGCCGAACCACTCCACGATCCCTCCCCACTGGCCACTGCATTCGGTCGACTGCTGCTCATCAATTTCTTCGGTTATGTTTTCTACGTTTGTCGTCCTCTTGAGAGAATTGGATTGGCGCGGATTGGGCAGCCCAGTCTACACGGCATGTACCTGATCGCAACATACAGCCTCGTGGAGTATTCCAAAGTAGTCATGCAGGTAGCGATCCCCTACATGTCTTGATACCGAGAGGAGGGCGGTGGTCAGAAGCGATTGCCAGAACCAAGAGACTATCACGTGAAACCCATGTCCTGTGTTCTGTTATTGCTCTTACGGCCAATGAACTGTCTAGGTGAACTACTTAACATTCAAGTGTATAACTGAATCACCAACGGGATGTGCATGAGGATTCGCACACTGTTTTTATTTTGATTCTTGCGTCTATTTTATGTCTTTTACATTCGTTCTAGCAGTGCTGCACGTAATCATGAAGCAAGGAAAACCTTATCAATTATAGTTGTACTTTCGCAACAGACTGAAACTACAAACTAAAATAGCGAAAGTATTTCCGTCATTTCTATCACCAAGACAACCTTGTACGGCTGCTCTTTGCATGTCGCATGTGGTAAAGCACGGGAACTAAATACGATGCGCTCTAATCCACTGCTCGTTCAATAGACAGAGATAGAAATAGAAAATCCTCTAAGGTTACTGTAAGTACAAATATCTTTGTTGTTCTAATTCCAATCGAAAACTATTTCTGGCATACCATGATCTAAATTACACGTGTAGCCAAGAGACATGATTCCAAGGCAACAGGAATTCAGTCGCGACAGGCATAATACATACTAAGAAGCTACTAAATTAGAGCTAATATCTAGGATCTAGTTTCTTCCTGTATCGGTGTTTGAGTCGTTTTCAGAAAGGTAATACGTGCATAACGATTACCAAGCCTTCCCAAAGATAGAGCGTTGCTCCATCCAAGCTTGCGAGGTTCCAAGCATGTTGTAGGCAACGCGCAAGATTCTACTGTTCCGATGACGGGCCCAAAGGAATTATGTGGGCGGCCAGCGATATGGTCAGATCTCGTGATATGTAAGATTCCTGTATATATTCACCACCGTATCGCATTCCGTCGACATTGAAAAGGCGAAATGCACTTGCAATCGACCATTTTGAAGCGATGACCGACTGCACCCGTTTCTAGTAAAGTGGAATGTGAACGTCCATTACTTTTTATCGCTTTTCCCATGCAGGTGATCTCATATTAGCAAGGG